CAGCTTTGCATCACAGAAATAAATTATATTTGAAAGGATATTAAAATAGAAACCATTATTTTATATTGTAATAACATTTTGCAAGATTACTGTTTTTTTCTGTATTTTTGTTCAAATAAATGCAGCCTTGATGAGCAGAAGAGACTTCTTTAAAACACATTACAAGTCTTACTGATCACAAACTTTTGAGCGGTAGTGTACATAATATAAAATGCATGTGGTGGAGATGATCTGACGTATCAGCCTTTTATTAAACAAATTAAAACCTCAGCAATCAGAAGAAAGTTATAAAGTAGATATCAAAAATCAATTACTAAGTAATAATTCCTTTTTTGTGCATGAGCTATAATACGTTTTTTTCATGCAAGAAATAAATCAATATCTCCTCTAAATATGGAGAGTGTGTGTTAGACAAGCGTGCAACTATTTTTTTCCTCCAGAACTCCATGTGGTGACATGTGATCTGTTACTACTATTATTACTATTGCTATTATTACTACTATGAGAGGTATCGTTTTACGTTTATGTGACTACGCAAGTAACAAAATCACATTTACTGTTTGCTGCAAATATGCAGGGGAAAAAACAGCTACATGATCAGAGAATCAGAGGGACTAAATGTATATTTCGCTTAATTCATGTGAGTGCATTTATTTATTTATTGACTCTGGCTACATTTCTTGATATTAAAAAAAACACAGTGAGCTATGACTGAATGTGAACAGAGTCATAAAAATTAGCTCTTGTATCTCTGTGTATGCGTGTAAATGAATTGTGCTCATTTCAATACAAAACATAACGCAAAAGGCCAAAAACTGATATGACGACAAAAGTTTAAAAATACCAAGTGACAAAATCTGTAGTTGCATTGGTCAAAGATTTCTAAAACTTTCCACATTTTAATTTTGACACAATTACTTTTAGTTTTCAATTATTTGTAAAGATATTTTCCAATATGATGATACCAATAATAAAAACAGACATAATCAAGTCGGTCGGTTATATGATTCATATCTGCTAAAGTCAAATAATCATCAGATAAGGGAAACTCACTGAAGCCAAGATATGTGTGCAATCAAAAACTCCAGATAGGTCAATAAACAGTCAATAACAGCATTTTCATGGACTTTGTGCATGAGATTCTTGTGCTGAGCAGCCAAAATAAGCAAATTCATATCTGAATTCAAATATCTTTATTAGGCATGCTCTTGAGTGGTTCAGATCATTTATTTCTAATAGGACCTTTTCAGTTAATATCAGTCAACTTTACTCCAAATCTGCTCCATTGATTTGTGAGGTTCCCCAAGGCTCAATTCTTGGTCCAATCCTGTTCTTACATGTCTACAGGATATTATTTCTCTCTTATATATATATATTAATATGCAGCTGTGCATGCATGTAATATGTTAAAGTCCGAAGCTGATCGATCACTGTGTTTCTGGTTTTCTGTATTTTAAATGCATGCACTTGTTTATTTTTCATCATCCCTGTGGAAATTAATATGTTTGTATGTGTGTGTGTGTGTGTGTGTGTGTGTGTGTGACGTCTACAAAACACTCCTACTTAAACTCACGGTGGCAAGAAAAACAAACTAACATCCGGGTATCTCAGAAAGGGGGCGTAGTGTTAAATATAGTTCCGCAACAAAGACGCTTAATAAATTTATCGTATGCTACATCAAAAATAAAAACATGCGATTAGAAAATAAATATATTTAATGACACGACCAGTCATTGAATATTGTTTTGCTCATAAACCAATTTTGCATCACTAAACACGTTAGCCCGCTTTATTTGTAGAGAAAAGGAAGAAAAAAAATAAGCTATTACGAAAAAATAAAAAGTTTTGCTTTAAAGAGTCACCGTGTCTTTATGAGCTCAAATAAACATCCATTGAAATCCTGGTTTTAATGCACCGCTCAATTTATACGCGTTTATGCAATAAACAAGCCTTTCTGCCAGAGCACATGGTGCAACGCGACAGCAACTAAAGGCTGTGTCGTCTGCAAAAACGACACGGTAAAAGACCAACTATGCATTCATAATCTAAATGCAAGCTGAATGCATTTTTAGGACAACCAGTTTAATGTTCGTACCATCGTTTTGAGGGCCAGTGGTCCATGCTTCAATCTCAGTCGCCATTACTCGCTTGTTTACCGTCCTCCTAAAGCCTGCAGATCACGGAAACATGCAGTAAACTCATTAAAAACAAACGTGCAAAATCACGTGCTTTACATAACCAACACAAATCCACGGTGTTTGATCAGTAGAAGTCATCTGACCGTATTAATTTACGTTTTAGTTCTAAATGCATTGAGCTTAGCCTCACCTTAAACTGAAGGCTCGCTTTCACTTAAAATCTAGCAGTAAGGTTGCTGGTAATGTAAACAGTCCTTGAGGAAAATAAGAAGATCCGTCAAAAAATATCTTCTTTGATTATTAAAGGTCTACAAAAATATAATTTGCATTGGCAGTGCACGTTGCAGAGAGGGAGCAATAACACGGACAGTGTTTTTAACTTCAGACAGCTCGCCTCATGCATATTCATGAGCTGAGCTTGTCTTTCGCCCAATAAGAACGTGGACTGTTCGGCAGCGGACGAATGAGCGAGGCGTATGCCTCATGAATATTAATTAGGCTACTGGGCCGACACTTCAGGAAACGTACAAAGCAGCGTCAGCATCACAAAATTAATATTCATGAGAGAAGCACTCGCCGTGATGTTGGATTGGTGGTTTGGCCGTCTGAATTGGGATTGGTGGATGAAGGGGCGGGATTAAAACAGTTCGTCCAATCACACAGCAAAGACAAACTAGGAGGAGTTTGAGGAGTTTGTTACTTTGGTAAACACGTTTCAATTTCCGCATTCTGAAAATACCAAATGTGTGGTATATTAAATTACTTACTTAAATAGCTTAAAACTTTAAATATTAGGCCATAATGTGATTTAGTTTGCATTATTTTAAATACCTCCGACTCTTTCTGGACATCAAACAGACGGTGTTCTTCTGACTGTCTCAGTATTTTGCCATTTTTAATCGTTTTTCTTTGTACGCATCCACACAGACTGCTATCTGATCAGTCTCCTCTCTCTCAATTCAATTCAATTTGTGCTTTACTGGCATGACAATTGTTACAATGTATTGCCAAAGCATATAGTGTTTACATCTAGAACCAGGCCCGGTACTAGGCTCGCTGGACTGGGGGGGCAATCAGAAATTGTGGTAGGGCAGCACTTTCTAGGGTAATATATTCATAGTTTACTTTTATTTACTCAATTTTCAGTCTTGCATTTTGTGTCTGTGTGAGTGCAGAAATGTTAAATATATGTTAAATATAGATACAATCTCTTTTTTAATAAATATTGAACTCTCTCTCTCTCTCTCTCGTAGTAGTAGTAGTAGTAGTAGTAGTAGTAATAATAGTAGTGATCTATTTATTTTTCAAGTAAATACTGTTGAATACAAGAAAGGGAAAATGTCTAGTCATAATTAGGTTTGAGTTCAGTCTTTCACTCTACCAAAGCTGTATTATTGTGTCATTGTAATATTACATTGTGTTTAACTTCTGCCTTAAATACAAATAGAGCCTTTAAATTCCCCTGTGCGACACCCGACGTCGCTGTCAGCATCATAATAAAAGTGTTTCCAATAGAACTTCACACCTGATTCCTGTAGTAGACGGAGAATTCACATGACACATATCTGGTGTAAGTATTATCCTTTAATTTTGTTTATAACATAATTGATAGCATTTTTTTTAACTCATCATCAAAATCAGCTTGACATTAAGTCTTTTATTTTTGATATTTCCCCCTATGAATGAATTATTATGAATTATTTCCAGAACAACTTTATTTATTTTTTACATTAATTCATTTAGGTCAGGTCAGAAACAGTTTGTAGTTGCACTATTGGTATCAATTATAACATCTGATTATAATTCAGTAATCCAACAACTGAAATGTCTCTATTTTTAAATGACTCTGATAAGCAATTGGTCCAATTTTGAAGCAGACGTTTTCATTATGTATGTAAGTTTTTATTTGTTTGAAAAATTAAAAGCAAGGAGATGAAGCTGCATTATCATAAGGTTGTATGTAATTTTCCTTCGCATTCAATAGAGTAGAAACTTTATAAAGTTTGGTTAATGGCATAATGTAGAAAGCAGGAGAAGAATTTGTGAAATTATGTATATATATATTTTTTGCTCTAATTTTTCAGAATTAAGTAAATTAATATTTTGCAAGTAGTCGGACCGTGTGCAACATAATGCCATATTTTAGTTAATATCGTTTTTTCTGTAAGATAAAACATACTGCTGCCAAACTCTAATCAAATTCAAGTTCAGCTTTATTTTTTAAACACTTTTAACAACAACAGACATTTCAAAGTGCTGTACAATAAAGAGAAATACAGTAAGTACAGAATTCAAAGACAATAAGAATCTTATAGACTAATGAAACCTATTAGATTAAGCCTTCAGTCCCTTAACTGGCCCAGACTAGTTACATTATTGATACATTGCTCTTTAATGGTTAATATAATGATATCTGTTTTTCCCTGATCACCTCAGTTCTTTTGCTGGACATAATAATAACATGAGTCAACCAATGATGTGTTGGCGTGAGAGGTGATTTTTAAAGATTTCTCTTTTAAATAACTTGCATGTTGTAAATCATAGTTTGCATCGTTTCTGTATAATACACTTGGAGGAAGTTGAAACCTTTGATTGGCCTGGTTTCTGCAGAAATTAGTCATAGAAACCAAATCTTAAAGTCGTAGAAACAGAAATACCACGCAAACAAGGAAGTGTTTTGATGTCTTCATTAAACACACTGTGTAAACATTCACAGTGCATGGTGGAAAAAGTGTGTGATGTAAAAGTAGGCTAATGACTTCTCCAAAAGTTAGACGGAATTAAAAGTCAGCTAAACCAATTGCGCTGTACAAAACATTTTGAGTTTGCTGTTCACGAGAAGCATTATGTGAACCACAAAAGAGTTCTCAGAACACCTAAGATAAGAATTGTTTACTTGCATGAAAGCTTTCATTGGTAAAAGCCTTGATGTTCATCCTTCCACTGTAAGACTAATAGTCTATAAATAGAGAACGTTGAGTGCTGCTGCTGCTCTTTCATGAGTGGGTGTCCTGCAAAGATGACTGCAAGAGCATAGTGCAGAAAAGACTTGCTAAGAACATGCTAATATCTGCTTTACAACGTAAAAACACTAAACAAGAACAGTGTCGAGTGGGAGGACACCACTTAGCCTTCCCAAAGAAAACACAAATATCAAATCCACATCCCAACTGTAAAGTATGGTTGGAAGGTCATTATGGTTTGGGGGTAATCAGTGATATATGCATATACTTGGAGGCCCTCTTGTACACTATCTGAGGCTCAGTAGAATTTGGGCGATGTGACAGGACAACAACCCAAAGCACAGGAGAAATTAACAACATAATGGCTTCATCAATTGAATATATGCCTTCTGTCATCATGACCTCAGCCCAACTTGGATGCTTTGGCATGGCCTCAACTAGACATCCCATCATAGCATAGATTTAGGTACTTTCAGAATATCTGATATGTCCAGACCAACATTTGGGCAGTTTTTCCTCATGGAGCTCAGAGGAGTATTTCTTGTAGTTCACCAAAAAAAATTAAAATTCTGTTCATGCATTCTTGCATACAAACAGTACAGATATGAGCATTAATGTGACATGTGCATGTACATATTTCTTGTAGTTCAACAAAAAATGGAAATTCTATTATGTACTTACTCTTGTCTCGTGTTGTTTCAGACCAATGGGGTCCATAACAACATCTTGCTCAACAGAAATAAATTGTATAAATGGTGTGTGTGTGTGTGTGTTTCAGTGTGTGTTCGTGTGTGTGTGTGTGTGTGTGTGTGTGTGTGTGTGTGTGTGTTTGAGTGTGTGTG